GACAGAGAAATTCCTGCTGTTTACTTTGGTAGGACCCAAGAACAGACCAAAGTGAGGGCTTCACTCTTCAAACACCATACAGACAAGTAAACGCTGTAGCCTGCCAGAAGGCTTGGGCAGAGGCAGGCTGGGGAGAGAAGGAAGGAACAGGCATAGACTAGCAGGCTCCTCCTGTCACCACCCACTTTCCTAGCTAAAGGATGCAGTCACCATCAGAATCACCATCAGAAATGTGAAAACAGTCAGCTGTAAGGGATTAAGGATATATTTAAAAAAAACACACTGCCACCATAAACCAGACTTCAATTTATTAAACAGACCTCCCCTGGCTCAAGCAAATCTAGTTGATAATCTCAATACTGGGGCTGGCTGCTCCCTCCAGCAAGAAGAAACAGGTTCATACCAGCGCAAAAAGGCAGCAAAGTTTGCAGGAAGAGGCAATATCTTTGAATAAACGACTGCTACACAGTTGGAGCAGGCAGACAAGCTTTTGGGCACATCAGCTCTTCTTGAATGCTCCAAGACAATTATAACAGGCTAAAAAGAATTAACATAAGAAATGCTTCCTGGGGCCCAACTGAGACCATGCCTGTAGGTAGTGATCTCTGCTGAGCCCCACTCCCCCAGGAGAAACCGCTGCTTCCTGCCCAAAAAGGAGAAGTTGCTCACATACGCTTCCTCACCACACCAGTCTGCATGCTGTAACGACACAAGTCTGCAGCATCACAGATAACAGCTACCCCATGCCCTGGCTTTCCTCTGTGTTCACAGGAAGCCATCCAGCGAGATGCTCAGGCAATGAGCCACTCCAAGGGCTGAACTTTACCTGATGGGACTGCAGGCCGATGATGGAAGAATATGCCTGGATGGTGACAAAGATCTCTGGCTGGTAGATGATGTCTGACCCAGGGATACGAAAGGGTCTTAACAACCCCACCAAGCATCGGGAAAGGGCATGAAACACTTCATCAAAGATTATCTCTCCTGTTGAGTCATCCTACAGAAATGGAGAAAGGGAACAGCTTTTTCACCTTCTAGGACTTTGAGTCTCAAGGCTGGTGGCCCCACCATGCAGAGCCAACAGCAAACATCCTTCTCCAATAGCAACTGGATTAAAGTGACAAATCCCTGTAAACAAAAGTCACATGTTGAACATCCCACAGAGAAGCAGGATCTGCCCTTACTTAAACTTCCTAGCTGGGAGCACAGGGAGCACTCTTCCCCTGGGAAAAGCAAGACTTCTGCAAATTTAAGACTAACACAGAGGAATAAACCTCATCAAACAGAAATGGGACTGGCCTTTTAACATACCTAACACCCCAAAAGAGGTGGCTTCTGCACTTACCACAATCCCTGTGGAAGGGCTCAGATCAAGTTCAATCACAAATCGGTACTGGCGGGCCAGGAAGGTGACCCGTGTAGAGGGCACCAGGAGATAGGGCCTTGGCTGGACAGGCTCATCAGGCTGCCACCCGTTGGGCAGGATGCTGAGAACATCAAGCTCATTTTCTGACTTCACCTACAAGAACAAATAATCAGAACATGACAGACTGTCAAGCCAAAGGAAAAATCAGGAAAAGGCCCTGGGTAAAAGCCTTCTGCAGGGCCCAGATGCTCAGGAGCGGCATAGAGCCACCTCACCACATCAGGCCATGGTGACACCCTCCAGCCCCAGACACCAACTCACCAGCTCCGGCTCGGGCACAGCCCAGATGACCTGGTGGAGTCGGCTGAGGACCCAGGCGAGTCGCACGTTGCGGGAGATGCGATAGTCTTTCTTCATCAGGAGGAAGACATGCCCTGCCTCCTCCACCTGCAGCACGACCACAGCAGCCCAGGTCACTCCACAGCCCGGCGGGCACCCCAGGAGGGCACGCAGAAGGGGACCCCAGCCCGCATCCCGCCCTGCCGCTCACCCCCAGGCTGCTTCAGCCCCGCACTCCCACCTCTCTCCTTCCCTCACAGGCCCGGACACCCCCACTGCTCCCCACCGCAGCCACCCCTCACCTGGCTCCTGCCGCCAGCTCCCCAGTACCCCTCCCCAGCTCAGCCCTGTCCCCCGGCCCGGCCCCGGCTCCCATAGCGCAATCCCACCTCCGAGTCAGGCCTCTCGGCAGCCGCCATGTCCGGCCCGGCGCGCCCCGCCCCGCGTCCTCTGACCCGGAAGCGCCGCTGGCCTGTGCAATGGGGCGGTGCTGCCATGCAGGTGAGGGCTGGAAGGGTCGCTGTTGAGCGCGGCTGCGGCCCGGCCGGGAGCAGCGGGCCGTGGGGCGGTTCGGGGGCAGCGGGGATCGGGGCCGTGCTGTAGGCCCACCCGGGCGGTTCCTGGGGCCTTGCCTCGGGCGGGCGGCCAGCGCGGCGTACGGAGCCGCGCCGTGGCCGGGCCTTGTGTTTCGGTGCCTCCTGCCGCGGACGCCCGCAGCTCCGCGGGCTGGGCCTGAAGCGGTAGCCGTCGCTGTTGGCGCCTTCCGTCTGGCCCTGGCGGGGCCTGTTGCCGCCGAGTGCAGCGGTACTCCCGGACCATCTGTCTGCTCCCCAGGGGTTAAACCCAGCCCGGGCTGGGGCAGACTGAGCTCGAGCAGCGGGTGCGATGCTTTGCTGTGCAACACTCTCCCCTTGCTGCACGGCTGCGGTGAGCGTGTGTGGGGGTATCTGGGTGCACCGCTCCTACTCAGCCCTTGGTGAGGGTCGTCACACCAGAGATCCACGGGCCCAGCAGCCTGGCTTTGACACTAGTGAAGAAGCCAATGCCCAAAAGAAGTTATGAGGGCAAATTAAGCTACTGAGCCCCATACAAAGACAGGCTAAGAAAATTGAGGCTGTTCAGCCTGGAGAAGAGAAGGTTGCCTGGAGACCTTAGGCCAGGTTGGACAAGGCCTGTGGGCAACCTGGTCTAGTGGAAGATGTCCCTGCCCATGGCAGGGGGGCCTGGAACTGGATGATCTTGAGGTCCTTTCCAACCCAAACCATTCTGTGATTCTGTATAAACTATTGTTAGCACATCCCTGATGTTTAATAGCCTTGAATGAATTTTCATTGATGGAAGAAGGTTCTAGGTATTCTTTGAAGTACTGTGAACTTTGAACCTCTGTAATGTCCATTGGAAAGGAGTTGCAGAGGTTAATAACAGGTTAGCAGGCTGTGGAGATCCACCTCCTTTGGTTTGCCTGAAACTGCTACCTAGTGACTTCATGCAAGTCTCCTGGTTGTCCTCCCAGAAAAGAGAGTGAAAGTGGATTGTCCTGCCAAGTCCTCATCTATAGGGCTGGTTGTATTGCCTCTCCTCATTTCAGTCACTCTCACATACTAGACTCCTTTCTGTTTTTAACTGCTGCATCTATGGAACCGATGAATATTCATGATCATCCTTGTTGCCTTTATTTGTACATATTCCTCCTATATCCCTTTTTTTGAGATGCACATGAGGCGTGCATTTATACAGTGACGTAATGATGCTTAGTTTTTGCTTGCTTTCCTAATAAATCCTGTTGCTGCTTTTACTTCCCCCACTTCTTGAGCCTTGGGCAGGTGTTTTTATAGGTCACCTCAGATAATCGCGAGATCTGTTTCTGAGTGATAACATTATCAGCTCAGAGAATGTCACTGTGTACAGAAAGTCAGGATTGGGTCATGTCCCCCTGCTTTGTTTTGCCACATGCTCTGCTTTATGTTTACCTACTCTGAATTTAATCTTTACCTCTCAGTTGCTCTGTATCAGGAGGTCCTTCAGCAACCTATCCTGTAAACCGTGTCTACTACCTCAGGCCAATTCAGTATTGCTAACAAAGTCTGTAAAGCGCTGCCTGTCTATAGCGTATGCCTGGGAGAGGCACAGCATTCCTTGGAAACACTGGCTGGTCTTATTGCGTGCATGTTTTGCAATGCTTGCATCTGCTTCCAGTTCTTAGTGGCTTTGGAGAGAACCAACGAAAGAAGGAGGCTTGGAGCATGCTGCTGCTGCAAGAGCAACACCTCTGCAATAGGGTTTCATTCACCCTCTCGAGGGCTGCTTGGATAAGCACAGACAACGGGCCAGGTGAATTGTCTGGGTGCCTATGCCTGGCACCCTTGCAGCAGACCACTGGCTACCAGCCCAGCTTGTAATGCAGGCATTAATTAATCTTCTTGCACAAACACAGTGTGCACACAATTGTAGACTTATTTCATAATTGCATAGGAACTGAGTCCCATCACAAGATGGAGGGGAGTGCACTTATCTGGAGGTGGAACACCGAGCGATCCACTCTGTGCATCCACTCCATGCATGGGGGACTGGATTTCCTCAAAGTTGACTTAGCCATTTCTTCTTAGGTGGTTGAGTGAAGTCTGATCAACGATTGCTAAAAAAAGCCTTTATAGTCTTGTCAGTCTATAAATAAAGTAGAAAAATCTTTTGTTCTCATAAACATGGCAGATACCAGATAATCTCGCCAGTGAAGCTCCCACTGGTCTGGTGTATTTAAACAGAACAACAAATGCAATAGCAAGCATGCCAGCAGCCTGAGTCACGCTATCTGCTTTCCCAGTTGGCATTCCCTTTCTATTATTTGATTGCTTTGTCCCACCCTCCTCATGGATTATTACTGTACAGTTCTGGACTTACATGAGCAGTTCATTAGGGTTGGAACTTTAATTATACTTTGTGCAATGCTGTAGTGTTAGTAAGTGAGACTAGATAAGATTCTGGAGGGTTTTTGCAAGAGATGGAGATTTGCCTTGATGTCTTTGGCAACAGATCCCCTGCCCTGACACTTTGTCACTGTCCTCCCTCACCTGCAGATGTCAGTGGAAAAGGTTATTTAAACAGTGTAATCAGAGCAAAAGGCAGGGGGTGATGTGTGATTGTGTCAGTGTGTGCTGTCTGTCACGGCAGGGCCTCCTGCAGTCGGTAAGGCACAAGTAAAAGAGGACCCTCGGGTTTCTTTGACAGCTGGAAGGGGCACTTGAGCAGGAAGAAAGTAAAGAAGGAGGTGAAGTGCAGAAACTGGAGTCTTTAGGCCATGGATCTGGTACTCACTCTGAAAAGGGAAGTTTTGGATGATGACATTGCTGTGCACACATCTATTGTCAGTAAAGGCTGAGAGATGTGAATGTACTTTGAGCTACATTAGTTCAATGACTTACGAAAGTGGCATGAGCTAACTTTGATGACTGCCTGATGTGGTGAAAAGCAGATGTAAACAATAATATCTTTACTCATCTATATCTTAAAGAGGACAGCTAGCACAAGTCTCTTGACTAAGTGTTCTGACCTAAGGGGAAAGGGTCAGTGTGAAACCATAAGATTTTTACCTGCAGGGTCTGGTGTTTGCTGCCCTGGAAAAGAAGGTTCTCTGTAGGAGAGATTGGATGCATGTGTGTGGATCCACAACACCTGGGGAAGGTGTAAGGCTTTGTTCTCATCCCTTGTCTTCTTTCAGAGAGAAGAGAAGCAGCTGGAGCTGACCCTGGAGGCACTTATCAGTCAGGTAGCTGACCTGAAGAACTCTTTAGTCAGTTTTATCTACAAGCTGGAGAATGAGTACGATCGACTCACTTGGTAAGTAAGGTGTCCCACAGAGCTGGGGGCACTGCTGATCACTACTGAAGCTGTTCCAGACTTAGCTCAAAGGACCAAAAGTATAATTAAAAAACATCAGCCTGTTGGCAGTAAGTTTAAATTTGCTTTTCACATTTCTGCTGGGGGAACCACTACATATCTTCCACCAGAAAAGCAGTCAAAATCCACTGGTTTCATGCTGTATAGAGTCATGCTAACACCTTTTGGTCTAGACATTTTGTGAAAACTAGACTTGCATCTGCAGTGACTGGAAGCTTCTTGGACAAATTACCTTGGAGACTCACACACTATAAAATGAGCAATGGTTCTTTCTGCATTTCATGACCTTTCTGGCCTTTTCTGGCTCTGTTTTGCTGGTTCTGCGTGTTTTACCAGACAGTTTGAGAGATTTGCAAGGTGGCATTCTTCCTGATAGACCATAAAGGTGTTATAGCTACAGCTTAATGAACTATACAGTATCCTGAACAGCATCTGCCACTGCAGCAGAGCTTCACAGGCAGTCAGTTTTTGTAGTTAATGTTGCAGAAGGCAGGAGAGATGATGAATATTCTAGAGAGAGAAAGCTGAAGGGGAGGCACCTTCTTGACAAGATTACCAGTTATTTTGCTTCATTATTGCTTAGTCTTGATAGCCAAGCTATAAATACTGTCTCTCTTGGCTGTGCTGCTTAGGAGTTAAATTGTTCTCAGTCTTTGCTCTGGAATTGCACTGTGAGAGTTAGAGATAAGGAAAGCTTTGCTTCTGTATTACTGGGGTGAGTTGACCCTGGCTGGATGCCAGATGCCCACCAAAGCCACTCTCATCATCCTGTTCCTCAGCTGGACAGGGGAAAGGAAATACACTGAAAGGCTCATGGGTCAAGATAAGGACAGGGGAGATCATTCACCAATTACTGTCACAGGCAAACCAGACTCAGCTTGGGGAAATCAGTTTGTTACTTGTCAAATCAGAGTAAGGTAATGAGAAATAAAACCTAAATCTTAGAACACCTTCCCCCCAGCCCTCCCTTCTTCCCAGGCTTAGCTTTACTCCCAAGTTCTCTAACTTGTCCCCTCAATGGTGCAGGGAGGACAGGAGCTTGTGGTCAGTTCATCACATGTTGTCTCTGCTGCTCCATCCTCAAGGGGAAGGATTCCTCAAACTCCTCCCCTGCTCTGGCATGGGGTCCTCTCCACAAGGCCCCAGGTCCTGCCAGGAGCCTGCTCCAGTGTGGGCTTCCCATGCGGTCACAGTCTCCTTTGGGCATTCCCCTGATCCGGTCTGGGCTCCTTCATGGGCTGCAGGTTGATATCTGTTCCAGCATGGCCCTCCATGGGCTGCAGGGGCACAGCCTGCCTTCACCAAGGTCTGCACCACAGGCTACAGAGGAATCTCTTCTCCAGTAACTGCACCTCCTCCCCAACTTCACTGACCTTGGGGTCTGCAGAGCCGCTTCTCTCACATATTCCCACTCCTCTCTCTGGCTGCAATTGCTGTTGCATAGTTTTTTCCCCTCTTAAACACATTCTCCCAGAGGTGCTACCACTATCATTGATGGGCTCAGCCTTGGCAAGCAGTGGATATATCTTGGAGCCGGCTGCATTGGTTCTATTGGACATAAGGGAAGCTTTTAGCTCACAGAAGCCACCCCTGTAGCACCCCTGCTACCAAAACACTGCCATGCAAATGACATAAGTTACTGAAATACCAAAACTGCAACTTCCAGTATACTGCTTGTGATATCTCTGAGCTATTTGTAGCATTTGAGCTATTTGCAGTAGGGGTGGGGATTTCTCCACAACTGTAGTAGGTTTTACTGTTTACTGTCAGGAATAAACTGGTTTGAGGAATAATAGCGTTATTTCCTCACTTCTCAACCATTTGAGTAAAGAAGAGAGAAAAGGCATCTGTGGCATCCCTTTCCATGTTCTGTCCTCTTTATTTGCTCTCCCAGGCCTTCAGTTCTGGACAGCTTTGCATTGCTTTCTGGACAGCTGAACACCTTGAACAAAGTGCTAAAGCATGAGAAGACCCCACTACTGCGAAACCAGGTTATCATACCCCTGGTGCTGTCTCCAGACCGTGATGAGGAGATCATGGTAAGAAACTTCCCTCTGAATGTTGGTCCTGGAGTATCAGAAAGTGCTTGTGATCTGCCCTGATTTGCCATTCCTCAGCTCTGGGTGTAGAGAAAGAGAAGGTGATGAGTAATTCTGCCTATGAACTGCTTTGCTGGGGGGCTTTCACCTACAAATGTACTAGATACACCTTATAGGAGGTGTTCCTGTTAATAAATGCTATTTTCGTCATGATGGGGCTGTGTAACTGGGAGGTCTCCTTACAAGCTGCTGGTTTTCTCAGCCCTAGCTGTGCTGCTGTCAGATATCTACATCTAGATGTGCACTATTTGTCATCTGACCAACGTGAGGTGTGTTACAGAATCTAATGTATGTGCTGGCAACATTTATTGTCTGCTTGAATGAAAAAACTTTTCAAGTGATGATGGCCATGCTAGTGGCATTGCACTGCAGACCCCTGTGGTTTGCTCTCACTAAGCAGGCACAGTGCAAATGCTTACACAAATTGTTGAAACCTGCTAATGCTGTCCAGATCAAGGTTTCCCCAGTGCATGCTGCTAGCCTTGTTCTAGCACCATGGCCTGTGCTCTGGTGTGGAGCTGTAGGAGGAGGCTCTGAGTGTCTTGTCACTCACTCTGAGGCTTATCCAAATATTTCAGAGGCAGACAGAGGGGCGTGTGCCAGTGTTCAGCCATGAGGTGGTGCCTGACCATCTTCGAACTAAGCCTGACCCTGAAGTGGAGGAGCAGGAGAAACAGCTGATCACAGATGCAGCTCGAATTAGCCCTGATGTGGCACAGGTAGGTGAAGATGAGTTTGATACTCTGCCTTTTAGTCATTGGACACAAGATGCCCTGTAACTCTGCTTCTTTCACCCTTCCACCTGACAGTGTTCTTTTTTGCTGTGCCCTTATCTGTCTGAGGTTTCTCCAGATCACCCTGGATGAAGTTTGGTTTCCTCCACAGTTTCACAAACAGAGGGTATCCAGCCCACTGGCTATTCACAGGAGGTGAACACATCAGAACAGGCAGAGAAAAGCAAAGGCTATCCCATCCCCATAGTGCCCTGTCTACATAATCACTGTAGGCTCTGCCATCAAAATGCTTGTTTGGCTACACAGACCCTGGAAGGAGAAAGCTTGTTTGCTTACCTTACTGACTTGTTCTGGGTTGGAAGTATCCTGGTGGTTTCTGATGGTTTTCATTTTGCAGAAACAGATCCAAAGTCTGAACAAAATGTGCTCAAATCTTCTGGAGAAAATCAGTAAGGAGGAGCGTGAATCTGAAAGTGGAGGTATGTCACTGAGGTGGAAGTGGGGTGCAGGGTCCAAACAGCAGGCTTGAGAGACTAATGGCAGAATAGGCAAATCTGGGGGTCATTCCAGTCCTTTGTGATACCCCTTTTGAGGAGGTGGTAACTGTTTACCAAGAAAACATCCCAATCAAATTGGATTGATAAAAATAACTGTGAAAATACAGTGGCAGTGAATGTGGGAAAACCCTTAGCTATGTTCTGAAGGAATCCACGATATGTTTGTGTGATGTCCTGTAGATAATGGCTTATTCAGACTCACGGTCAGCCTTTTTTGGTTCTGACTCTGATTCTGGACATCCTTATTTTACTGGTCTCTGCCATCACCTGATCTCTATTCCTGGGAGTGCTATGTACAACTCTCAAAGGTGCTGGGGTTTTTGTGAGTTTTTTTTTTTTGTCATCTTTGACACAAACAGTGTAAGCAGGGATCCAGGCACAGGTTCTGTCTGCTTTCCAGGATTAATAGTATAACTGGGCAGGTGTGTGGTAGAAAAAGTTACAGACACCATGCTCCTTATGAGCCTCCAAAAGAGGATGTTGACATTGTTTGTCTAAAACACAGTGCTTGTTACTTGCTATTGGATCCAGCATGGAAAAGCCTTTAGTGGGAATATTCTTATGGGCATGGAGGAGTTGGCTCCCTCTTCCCTGGGTAGCATATGCTCTGCTCTCCGTGGAGAAGCTCTTGGATCACCACTGTCTTTGGATTTTGCAGCTTCTTTGACCTTGCTGAGACTGTTATAGGACAGCTTGTAGAAGCTGATCTCTGTTACATGCACCAAAATAGTAGAAAAGTAAATTCAGGATGCTAATTTTTAAACTTGATTGCAAAAATGCTCCAAACTAACTTTTTTTTCTATAGGTTTAAGACAGAACAAGCAGACTTTCAACCCTGCAGATACCAATGCACTGGTAGCAGCTGTGGCCTTTGGGAAAGGACTGTCAAACCGGAGGCCCCCTGGCTCTGGAGGATCTGTCCAGTCAGGCCAACCAGGAGCTGGTGCCATCATTGCAGGTGCTTCAGGCATGCAGCAGGTCCCAATGTCAGGTGCACCAGCTCAGCAGCAGCCAATGCTGGCAGGAGTGCAGATGGCACAAGCAGGACAGCCAGGTAAATAAGTTGCATATTGAGATCAGTTGAAATGCAGGGAACAAGAAAGAGAAATGCAGGTGTAGAGGGTCTTCCCGAGTCACCTTTTAGATATAACTGAGTGAAGAGGTTCCTTTATGGCCTTAATAACGAGTCAGGTTATAACAGTGGAGTAACACTGGCTTAAATTGGATCGGAGATTAAAATGAATCCCAGACATCCAGCTTCAGCTTCTTAACTCATGCTGCAATACCATTTTAATAATAGACTTAGTGAGTGTAGGAATCAATATGGAAGGAGATCACAGCAGTCAGCTGCTAATCTTGAAGTTACCATCCCTGACTCCAAATCCCTGAGCCACAATATGTTAGTATAAGGGGTATTCTGCAGAGGTACCACTGTAGGCTTGCCCTGTTCTGGTATTCTTCCTTATATGTCCTTTGCTGTCAGGAATGGGTTTGGCCTGGGGAACCTCCAGGTCATGTTAATTGAGCTTATGGATATTGATATCCTCATTGGTGTTTTTTTGAACGGTAATGACTGTTCAGAAATGAATTTGAGGAACAATAGTAATCCTAAGTTAATTATGTGTTTGTGTAAGAATTAGAAAGTAATTTCCACTATGATTTGCAAACAAAGGCAGCCCCTGTGATTTTCTGGCTGCATTCCCACAAACACAGTCTCCAGGATGGGACGACAGTCACTTGCGTACACCAAGCAGAGTGTGCTGGTAACAAGAACACTTGTCCAGCCCCTGTTACCTGGAGGTTCCCTTTTGATGAGAGCAGCTATCCTGCGTTTCACCAAAGGTCAGTCCCACTATCCTGCTGGTGACAGGACCCATAGCCAAGGCTGAAAGAATTTAAGAACAAACCTTACACTGACAGCAGTTGTTGTTTAGGGATTTTAAGGCAGGGTTTGAGACCGTTGGGTATAGCAGCAGTTCCTTTTTGAATTATGATTTTGACTTCTACAGCACTTGCAGCATTTCTTCCATAGCTTTACTGCATGTTTTGTTAAAAAAAATCCTTTTTATGTTTAAACCTTTTGCCTGGTAATTTTATTGCATGCTTCCTTTTTTACCCTTCCTGTTTATGTTGTGAGAAATGGGGAATAATCATTCCTTAGTGATTCCAGAGTGGTTTTTGTTATTTGGAAGTCTGTCATGCCTCCTCCCTTTGGCTATCTTTTTTCTTCCCAGCTATTGTTCTGTTTAATATGTCCTCGTGTGAAAATTGTATTATGTCTTGGACTTGTCACTCTTACTTGCACCTTTTCTGTTTGTTTTCAAGACTGGGAACACTAGAACCACTCACAGTATTCCAGGTGTGGGTAAACCATACAGTCCTGGTCACCCTTCTTTTCGGAGTAATGTTCCAACAGTATTTGCCTGCTAATTTTTAGCACTGGTGTGACATGGGATCTCCTGCCAGTTCATTGCAGGCAGTGACCCTCTTTGGATACATTTGAGAAAGTTTAGTAATCTTTATTCTTTTAGCCATTTGCTCATCAAATCTTCCCATGTTCTCCTGCAACACAGTTTTAATTTTCAGAAGCTGTCCTTTATTTATGTTCTAATTTGAATACACGTTCCACTTTCTGAAGGGGTATTCTTTAAATATCCCTCTTGCTGCTCTTTAATCCCTTTTTGTTTATTCTTCTGATCATTTTAGTTTTGTCTAGCACTGTGCACTCATTGTAAGCGGCTAGCACGATGTCTTTGAACACACTCCCATGTGTGATCGGTATCAGCAAAGAGTAAGAATGCCCAAGAGGTGGACCTGGTTAAGAGAAATAACAGATCTGAGAGAGGCTGAGTAATTGAAATACACACCCTGACTATAAATAATGCTAAATGGAAGGGGATACAGGCTCTTGTGTTTGCCTCTCTGAAATGGAAGTGAAGATCAGTCTGGATCCTTCTGAGAGTGCTGCTGCTAGCAACTTCTATGTGACTGAACAGGTCCCACAGTCCTGTAGGAGCTTCCTAACAAAGAGAAAGACAGACTTGTTTAAAACGGAACAAGGATAGAGTTTGAGAGGAAAGCAGGTGGACACAGGAATTGTCAGGGAGATTTCTCAATGGAGAAAGATGCCAATTTGTAGAAGAGATTGATTGTGTTAGGGCAGAAGCTGGAAGATGCTGTAGCAGGAAAGCCTATTATGGTACCTGGAGTGGAACAGGAAAAGCCCAGGGAGGGTTGTTGTGAGTCCTGCATGCTCCTGAGCACATGTCCTCTCATACAGCTGATTTTGCTTTTTCTTTTTCTCTCTTCAGGAAAAATGCCAACTGGCATAAAAACAAACATCAAATCTGCTTCAATGCATCCGTATCAGAGATGAGCTGAGATGGCCCAGGCCTGGGGAACAGCTGTTACCAGCATTGCTCCTGCTGCAGCCACCACACCTGGCTTGTGTGGAGTTGCTAGTGGCCATGTCTCCTGGACACAGGTACTTCTCTGTTGTCAGAGCAGAGGACTTTGCTTCTGGTATTGATCCTATTTTCTTCCAGTCTGGCCTGGAGAACAACTACCCTTTCCTGATACAGAACCTGAAGAGCTGCATGGCGCACTGTGCTCTTTTTTTCTGCTTGTTCAATTGCAATGATTTCTTTACTCACTCTTGTTGAATAAAGATCTTGTTATGCACACTGTGAGACACTGGTGTCCATCTGTTGGATTATAAGGACTCTGATTTCCCTTTAGGTAAGGCTTATAAGTAGCTCCAGTCTAAAATACACAGAAAATGTTGGAGGCTAAGTGCTGGAGCTGCAGGATTATGCATAAAGACCTATAATAAAGTGAGTCAGCAGGGTACAAACATAAGCAGTAAACATCTTGTTTGTTGTAAAACCATTATGGGTATTCCCCAGAAAGCAAAATACTGGGAAAGTCTATTACAGGGAAAGACTATTACAAAGCCTGCAGCAAGAAGGCAGCATTTCAGGAACAGAAGCACAGAGCACAGAGCTTTGGTATTCTGATGCTGCTACAAATCCCAGCTGGATCTGATTTCACTTCCATAGTTCTCTGCTGCTGAAAGAGTTTCTTAGCTACTTCAGGATTCATTTGTCACTTCAGAGAGGTATTTAAATCTGCTCAGGACTGTGGTACCTCTGAATTAGCCAGGCTATGAGGTCTGGCCCATTTCTCATTGCGACTGATCATTGTGAAGCCATACCCCTGTTTTACTTTCTGCCCTTGAGCCGTAACATATAACCTGCCTAAGGAAAGATTCCCAAAGAGCATATGAGTACAACAGTGCTACCCTGAATGCAACCGTCATGCTTCTTGCTGTTCTTCCCTGAGCTTCCCTTTTGGCTTGTGAAAGGCAGCACTGTATTTTACTCAACAGCATCTGCCAGCAATCTTATGGGTGAGGAAATCTCCACTCAGCAGATACGGCCTGCAGCTGCTCCTGTGCTGCTTGCCTGTGAGCTAATCAGATACAGCTTATTTGTGGAGGCTGTGGCCCAAAACAAAATCTTCCACAAAGCTGTGACTAGGGCAGTTATTGACCCATTTTCATGTATGGGCCTTTGAAAAGCACTGAGCTGGGAACAGAGAGTTGAACTAGAAGCGCAAGCAGCTTCCCTGATAAGCAAAGTCGTTCCCCACTGTGAATGAGTGAAGTGTCTGCAATGACACCAGCCCAGCCAGACTGATGGGATCCTGTTTTACCCCTAATGGAATCACTCCTGGAACCACTCACTGCAGCTGGGGAACTGGTGTGGAGGCAGGGAAGGGTTTGATCAATACCTGAAGCTGGGGAGTCAGAGCCTGCAGGGCTATGCCCTGTAATGGACTGAGCACTGCTGCGGCTGCTGTTCCCTGCTCTATCTCATGTCCCTGCTTTGGCTGGGAAGGAAGGCACAAAGCTGTTTGAGGAATGTGTGTCAGATCCCTGGCACTGTCATCCATGGAGCCTGAGCTCCAGGATGCTGCTTCACTGCATCTTCCCTGACTGGCTTCCTTATAAAGCTAAAATGTGTCAGTGCTGGGGCCAGCGTGGCTGCCTGCTAACCTGGCTCTCCAAAAAACGCCCCCAGTGGGGAGGCCAGACCTTTCACACACTTGGAGGGGAGGAAGGGAAATACAGGCAGGGCTTTTTTCCGTAGATTATAGAGCCAGGGAGGCCGGCTCGGCTCCCAGCGTAACTTCCTGCGTGACACAGGCTGCCCCGAATTAGTTCTTGTGTAAATTAGAGCGGAAAACAGTTGCTCGAACGGACACATCTCTGCTACAGTGGCTGGTAGCTGTCCTACAGTTAATTTTTTTATTGTACCTTTATATCGAGGCTGCATTTCTTTAATTCCCTTCGAGTCACTGGATCTCCTCAAGCCAGGAAGTTGTTAGTCCCAGAGACAGCAGTCGGATGTGATGATCAAGCTTTCCTGGTAACTTTTTTTCACCACAAACTGAACTGATGGAAGTCCCTTTTGCTTTAAGGCATATTTTCCATTTTTCAATCTTGGCTCACATCCAAATCTCCTTGTGCTTTTGTGTCCTTTGGGACACTGGACTAGGACATGTTATTCTAATTGTGGGAATGGGAATTTCAAATGCAGAGTGACTTTATAATCTCTTACCCAGTTACTGCCAGCGCTTGAATGTTTAAACAGGGAACAGGAACAGGCCTTTTACCCATAAAGTCAAGGTGGAAATTCATGGTCCACTGCTCACCACTGTGGCCTGTAAGTTCAACAGGGGTTCACCATTCCCTGTACACTGTGCCAGAATAAAAGCACAGCCCTGCTGGGTCAGGGCAAAGGCTTGGTCTGTTCCCTGCTGAGGCAGGGACCAAGCAGGCAATCAGGGAAACACACTCTCCCTGCAAGCGTGGGCTGTGCTGCCACGCTGAGCCCTCAGGGGTTTGTTCCTTGCATTTTCCAATCCCTTTTGGAACCTGTTCCTCCTTAGTAGTATAATTTTGGCAGGGAGGAGGCTCAGTCCCAGCACGGAAGGTGCTGCCGGGCTGTCTGGACCCCAGCTGGGGTGCTGGAATATGATGGAGAGCAGAAGCACAGGCACAGGTTTGTTCTTGGCACCCAACATCCCCCTTGGAACCAGTCGGGCACTGGTGCAGAGGACGGACATCCTTCTCCATGCAGCCCCACTGCCCAAGGGATTTCATGGGTGCCAGATCACTGACATGGCTCCAGTTCCCAGGACAGCATGCTTCATCACTTCCTTTCCTTCCAGGTCATCAGCTTTACACTATTTAGCATTCCCTGCTAGAAACATATCCTCAGTGTCAGCCCCCTGGGGAGTATCTCCTCTGCTGCCTCACACTTGGCCAGGTCTCCAGCACTCTTGCTCCCGGATCACACACGCTGCTGTACCATCCAGCTTACTCTCTGACATTGAAGAGTATACCACAAAAATTGATGTGTTAGTTTGACTGGTTTTTCATCTGTAATCCCTGATGATTGGTATTTATATTTCTCTGCTTCAAGTATTGATACAATCACATATTTTGCAGTCATTATTTTGCATGGGATGACTGTCGAACAGACACACCTGTTTACAAGGCCATCCTGTTTACTTTTTAAAATGCTGGCATAGCATCAGCTTGCTTGTTCTCTGGAGCTCCTCCAGGCTGCCTCGTCTTGCTGAATGTCAGCATTAACCTGTTAGGTCTTTAAAAACAGATTTCAATTTCATTTTCTTTTTAAAATGTTGAGATGCAGGATACCTGCACTGCTGAGATTTTAACATTTGCCTTGTGCAACTGCTGTGAAACATCTTCCTGAGTTACTGTTAGAGTGAAAAACATTTCACCTTTGTGACAGGAATGCTTCATCTGGCTTCCTCCCAGAGGCAGGAGCAAGATATTTATTGCCTTTCCTTCCTGCCCAGCTATCCACAGTCCCACTATTCCCAGCCGTGCTGGGTGGTGCCCACAGCCTGTCCTGCTGTTGCCCTCGGCTGGTTTGCCTCTGGAAGCTGTGAAGGTGAAGCTTGGTGTGGTGCCACCACTTCCCTCTATCTCCTGCATCCACTGACCATCACAACTAACATCTGCCACGTGTTTGTTCTCTTGTCCCATCCCCACGTGGAGATGTGCACACAGGTGTCTTCTGCTGTTTAACAAAGAAAAACATATCACTTTTGTTTGTTTTTCTAACCTGCAGGTCTTCAAAGTGTGTGTGTCATTAAGCCCTTACACTGGAAGTGAAGTACATCAGGTGTGAGGGGAGATGCAGTTGAAGAAGATCAGGGGGTTACCTGAGGCACTTACCCACTCTCTGTAGCACAGCTAAGGCAGGGTCCCAGCAGGGGCTGGGGAGCTGGTCTCCATTCTCCTGCTAGGATCGGGCCTTTCCAACAGAAACATCTGGGACCAAAGGAGAAGTCTTCTGGTGGGGGGGTTGAGGGAGCCTGAGCGCTTTTATAAGCTAAGAAGCAACACTATAGGGTGCGTGCTGCCAAAAGATGGTAAGTTTTGCATATGCGTCGCTCCCAAAGCAGCCTTGCCTGCAGCTCAGACAAGGAGAGACAAATACATGGAGTCAGCAGCAAAATGTGCCTCTGGCCACTGAAAAGCTCAGAAACCACTTGAAAATCAAAGGCACAAACGGAGGGAAAACAGCCAAATGGTGGAAGCAGAAACCCCAGGTTGCTCTCTGCTTTCCCCTGGGCTCCCCCCATGTGCTTGGTGGCTTCAGGAGAGCCACAGCATGTCTACATGACAGCTGGTGCCTACAAATTAATATACAGGTGCTCTGGAAAAATCCCATTGAATTCCTCCTTCCAATAGCAATAAATCCTCCAAGTGCAATAAATTTTAATCTGTCTTGGAAGTAAAATGTTACCACTTTGTACCTCACATGGATGCTGCAGTAGTAAAAGTACATGGTTGAGAGATGGGATGTTTGGATGTATTTGTAATACATGCCATAAAAATAGTTCAGGGTGATGGGATTCCACAGCTTATTTGTTGTCCTTATGATACAACAGCTCTCTGGCTCGATCCATGAACATTGCCTTGGTGGAAACCTGCACTTGGAAATTAATGAAAACCTCCTGCAGTTTGCTCAGGGGTAACCCTGTACATGAGGAAGCACACAGGAGCAATGCAAAGTGAGCTGGCTGGCTCCTCGGGAGGAGAAGCTTTTGTCTTCTCTTTGGTTTATTTTTTTGGTGTGTGTTTTTTAAAGAAAGGAAATTACTGCCTGTATTTGTCTGAGACACATACTTTCCAAAGCCAGGGGATCGAGAGCTGTGGTTCCTGCTGTGGTTATCTTGTCACTGCTGCTCAGATTCTGTCACTGATTTACCCGCTTGCCATAAGGTTTCTCCCTTTGCTACCATCATGTCCAAGCAGGGGGGTTGGAACTAGGTCATCTCTAAGGTCCCTTCCAACCCAAAGCATTCTATGATTCTATGAGCAATGACTGTGCCCCAGGGTACTTTTGCACTATTTTTCCATGCTTTGAGCATCACTTCTGTCTATGGGCACTGTTTTGAAGCTGCAGCATTTCCCAGGATATTCCTCTCCTGGGCCCAGGCATCCCCCTTCCATGCCTATTGCCAGGTGGCCTTGGTGGGACCTGTCTGCCTCCCATTGTCATGTGCCAATCCTGGGCTCTGCCCACCCCAGCATGCAGCACAGAGGTGTGCTGCTTCTGCAGAAACTGGGCTTTGGAGCTTGTGG